AATAATTATAAGATTTGCTGTGTAAATAGGTTGTGAACCTTTTTAATTAATTTCATATATGTACCTTCACATTTATAGTACAAATTAGTTTGATAAGTATTGCCAAGAATGAATGTTTGAGTTTTATATATTTTTGAGAGAAACTTTTTTAAATATACCAATTAAATTTTTAATTAATTGCAATTCTTATTTAAGGCATGTATGTATATAAATAATACCACAATTGGTAAGCATTGTTGATTACTTCATCCACAGATCCATTCAGGTAACTAGTTTACTTGCTGCCACTGGAATTGCAACATGTATGAAAACTCCAAGAAAATGAAAACATACATAAGTATATGTTTCTAAAAATTAACATGTTTATTGTAAGTTGAATTGTGTTACATATATAAATAAACTTATATAGCAAATATGAATAAACATATTGGCCCGTAGTCATAGTCAAAATAAAGTCGACTTTAAAGTTAGTTGCAGCTTTTTTTGACTGATATCCCATTGAAAATTATGTCAAAAAGCTGCAACTAACTTTAAAGTCGACTTTATTTTGAATATGACTACGGGTCATTAAATTCACTTTACGATGACATTAAATTTCACTTACAAATAGTTTGACTTGCTTATACAGTCACTCACACAAGTATTTGTAATTTAGTTTTTTCACAATATTCAAAATGTTTTCCATCATAAATCTTTTTTGCTAAATTTTATTTAAAATGTAGTTGATTCTATACCAAAAACCAATCTTGCAAACTTTGTACAAAATTCACAAAAGTTAAACAAACTTTAAAAATTGTTCATTAAAATTTCAAACTTTTTAATCAGAATTTTTAGAAAATTTTTGGGTATGCAGTTAATTCTGTTTTAGTCGAGGGTGTTGCGCATTTTCTTCCATGTAACGCATGAACAAAATCTATTTTCAAAATAAAAAAAAATCAACGGTAATTTTTACCTACTTTGAGAATGAAACTTAATTAAACTAAAATTGCATGAACTACAAAACTGCATACCCAAAAATTTTCTAAAAATTCTGATTAAAAAGTTTTAAATTTTTATGAACATTTTTTAAAGTTTGATTAACTTGTGAATTTTGTACAAAGTTTGCAAGATTGGCTAATATGGTTTTTTGTATAGAATCAGCTATATTTTACATAAAACAAAAAAGATTTATGAAGGAAAACATTTTGAATATTGTGAAAAAAACTAAATTACGAATACTTGTGTGAGTGACTGTATGTAAAACTCTTATTTGTAATTAACACCTAACTAAATAAAAGCAAAAATTGTTTTCCCAACAGGCTTAAAAAAATTCGGTAGTAAATTAATTACAACTCTCATAGTATCATCTAAACGTTTATGTGCCACTTAACCGTGCAAACCTCGGCATTCTCACATAGACCACCTGCTTTGGCGTTAGTTGAATATTCGCACTTTTGAATGCAGCATTTTTGTATGCACTTTCACCAGCTTGCCATAGTTTCGTATCGGAATCACCAATTTAACAAAATCCTCAAGTACATTCTTGATATGTGCCTGTTGTTAAATTGGTACTGGAGCAAGATACGGCCCCGATGATACCTGCAGAAGAATTATTCAAAGCAAAAAGGGAATATTCATACTTTCTTCATGTTTCAATAATCATCATTAATTTCCTTTTACTTGGCAACCTGCAAAGCATAACCTCCGACTTAAGCGACACGTTATTTAACTATGGCTGTCACAAATTCATCAGGTTTTAAATCCAAAGCAAAGACTTTTTCGTCGACCGTCTTTGCATCATCGGTTCAAATGTAAAGTGTATCCATTGAATAATAGTCACGCATTCGCACCTTATGTTTTGTTTTCTTTGCCTATTTAACCAGCTACTCATCCTGATCATAATTCCCCTTATATATGACCTTAATAGAGCGGTACTGTTGCTCAATAGGTTGTTTATTGGACCACGTGCGTAAAAAATCGTAAAACACGTCCATATGTAAATACAGAGAGTAAACTATTTGATTTAATATCATTCATACATTGATACATACCTCTGTTTCTCCCTTCTTCCTAAATAAATTCAAAGTTTGCATGTAACATAGACCGTAGTATACTATAATCTTGTAGGTGATGACATTATTGCTTAAAGACTATTAGCAATCTCATCCCTTATTCTACGGCCCTCATTTTGCATATTGCTAGTTTGCAGCATAAAAGTGTCTTCATGAAAATTCTCTGATGTAGTAAGATTAGCATTTTCATTCCATTCTACATTATACTGTCGACAGATGTTATGCAGCGCGCAACAGACATTTACAATTTTAACTACCTTCTTAGGTTGATAGTGTAAAGTCCTTTGCAAGCAACGAAATCGGCTCTTTAAAACTCCTATAGTTCGTTCTATTATGTTGCGGGCTGAGGAATGCGCGTTATTAAATTTATATTGTTGAGATGCATATTGGGGATCCCGATAGGGTGTTAACATAAATGGTTCTATACCATATCCGGAATCGCCCAGTAGTCTTGATGATCGGTCTCCATTTTCGTATTCCTGTAG